TTAGATCGCTTTGCCCTCTTGGGCGCAGATTCCTTCACCTCAGACTCAGTCTTGTTGGCTTCCTTGGACTTCTTGGGTGCAGTCTCCTTCCCATTGTTGTTGTCATCCTTTTTCTTGCCACTGCCACGCCCCTGGCCGCGGCCATTTTCTTCGTCCATCAGCGAGAATTCATCGGTTCCAAGTTGTTCTCGCCGAGTCACGAGTGGCACCTGAAGGGGTGATTGCAAAGAAGGTTCCCAGTGATTCCATCTTCAACTAGAAACCAGTTGCGAAGGTTCATGAGTGCTCACCATTTAGCCGCTTAGCCACTGAATGTTGAGACCCACCCACCTCCCCATTCAACAGATCCACCTCTTGCTCAGCTGGCTCCTCTGCAGGAGTTTGCTTGGTTGACATCGAGGACGAGGCCGGAGCAGTACCGAATGACGAGGCCGGTGCAGCCGCTGGCTCTTTCAACTCAGTGGGGGGAAGCTTTGGAGGGCCATGCGCTGCAGAGGGTTCCTGCGCTGTCTCAGGAGCTGGTTTTGACTGAAGTACTTTTCTGACGGTGATCCTCCTATCGAACTTTATCCCAATTTGTTTTTGTTCTTTTTTAACAGCCCTTTTTCGACCTTGAAAGGGCCTCCGTATCCTCCACCAAAATCGTCTCGAAAGAAGTCATACCCAAGGATCCGTCCGGTGTCTCATAAGGCAAAGTCTCAATGTTGTCGATATCACCTGGGCAACCAGTGATCGGGTGAATTAACTAAATGACTAGACCGCAACTACTTAGGAGATCTTAGGAGGGCCTTTTGTAGCTAAACATTTTCCAATTTTGACAATCAGTCCAAGTTGCCCAACACAGCTGAACTCTTCAAGCGAGCTAAGTTCTCCTTCTCCTTGGATTCCATCTTTGCCCTGTAGGGTCGGAAACTTTAAAACGTTTCAAAGTCAAGAGACTTGGTCAAAAAAGATCTTTGGCCATCTCTGGAACTCCCCATGGTGAACTAACTGTTTGAGGAGGTGGATGGTGGATTCCCACATGTTTACTCCAAGGGATGGCTGAGCTATTTCCCCCACTGTGTCCGGTTCTAGAGTCTAGAGTTTGCTTTTGTGGACCCCACCTCAATTCAGCAAGCCTGGACCGGATTTCTTCCTTGCGTTTGAGCTTTGAAGGACTGAGCGGAGCTGGTGGTGGCATTGAAGACAACGATGAAACCGTTGCAGCCCCAGCGCTATCAACGGGCGTTGCTTCGTGATGGGTTCCATCTCCATTCAAAACCTCCAGGGGAGCCTGCGGGTCTTCATTGTCACACGAGCCCTGAATGAGAGAAGAGTCAAAAGGATCCTGCGAGTCCTCAACGTCAGGGTACTCGTAAACAGTGGCCTGTGAATCCTCGATGAACTCGACGTCGACAGGTTTTGCCTGCGGGTCAGGTGTCTCCCCTGTGACTGTATCTCCACGGGTTCCCCCACCTTGAAGCACAGTCCCGCATCCATCTTCATGCTCAAGACTACTCTTCGGTGGTGGTGTATCCTCCAGTTCAGTAGTTGTTATGGAACTATCGCCATCCTGAACCTCATAGACATCAGCCTCAACGGCCTCCTCATGAGCCTCAACGGCCTCCTCATCAGCCGCCCCATCCATAATGGCTAGTGGGGGGTTGTCATCATTGGCGGCCCTCAAAGCATCGCCGTTCTCATCTGCACTTGGAGTGCCCCAAGCAGCAGTGAAGATGCACCAAACAGAGTTCAACGATGATTCCTTGACTGGGTGATGTGTTGCGGCTTGTTGCGACTATTGGGATGTTCTTGCCCAAAGTAAGTTCCCTTGGTGGAAAGGACTAGGAAAGCAGTGTTGCAAAATTACTATTGAAAACTTCAGGTAAGACATGGTAAGACTCCCTGGGTGCAGTGCTCCCCGTCAGCCACCTTCGCAAGGCATGGGAGAAGAGCCTTTTCACGCCCCATGCATCCAAGTTGACCTTCCCTGCATCTTCAGGCAAAACGAGCTGTTTCCTCCACTCTGTGACCTTCAAGGCGCTGGGTGGGGCAGGAGGCAGATGGAAGCACAGAGAAGAAAACAAAACCAATTCAACAAGTGTGGGTGATACCACTACCAAACTTTTGTTCCCTAAACCGCCCTACCTCGGCACGCAGCAAGTCTATTGGGATGGCAGCCGGTTGAGTGCAAAATTGGACCCACCATGTTGCTGTCAGCTCCAGCGCTTCAGCATTCAGGGAACATGCTTTCATTGAAGCAATCCCTGTGGTTTTGGGACTTGGCCAAACGGTGATGCTATCATTCAACCTCCCTCGGTTGCGAAGCAACGGGCTTTGTTCCCAATCGCTTGCCAAAGGCATGGTCAAAGAACTGAGAACTAGCAGAGAGCAAGCTGATCTTTTGAGCCCAACAGATCCTAGAGACTCCATGTTCTATGAAGTTCTTGGTGCAAGTGGGGCAGCAAAAGACCACTAGACTAGAGATCATCAATTCCAGTCCTGAGGTATCCATGGCCCAACCAGCACCACCGTGCGGGTACCTGACGAGGCAATTTGATGATGCCTTGCGCACGTCTGTGTGCATTGGAGAGCGCAGCTGACTGCAGAAAAAAACAACGGGCGCACATCTCGAACTTCCAAGAGCCAGGATTTCCATTGGGAGTGATAGAGTGCTAAATCCTTTTGAAGGTGTGTTTGCACTCCTCATCGAGTGAACTTGGTTGTGTTCACAGTGGTGATCATTCCATTTGGTTGCACCATGTTAAGATAGTGTGCATCATACGTTCGCTAAACCCAATGTCAGGCTGTATGTCCTGATAGCAAGGCTTTGGAGCCACAAAGCTCATTGATTGGACAGAAAGACCAAAAAACGCTCGGGATCAAAAAAAACAGTACATGCCCAAAAAAACGTTTTTCTCTGAGAGAGCAATAAAAAGACATACATGGGAAGACGTAGGTATTATGCATTTTCCAAACAATAACCACCCCGTGTGTGTGTTTTGCCTTTTTTTGCATAATCTTAGTCATAATCGTTGACCAGCTCCAGGGGGTGCCGCTCGTGAAAACGGGTACCACCCAATCCTCTTTTTGGGTCACTTGGGATTTGAGCAAATTGCTCCAGTCTGCACCACCCTCTCTCCGGCAGTGATAGGACTGCAGTTCAGTCGAACCGGAAGCTGGGGGGCTGTACAGACTTAGTGCAGGCTGAGAGGAGGAGAACGATCCCCTTCCCAAAAAAGAAACATAATACTTCACAAGATTGCACCGTTGTTCAAAAATGTCCAGAAGCTTGCATCTGCTGGTGGCAGTTGAATCAGGAAAGGGTGCTTTATAGACACTCCCCTGACTATGCATGTTCCTTCCAATAACCAACCAGCCTCTCTGGGTGGTGCTGGATGGGCTCGCTTCGTATGAGCACATGGGCTTTGTATCTGCTCCTCTTCGATTGAGCGATTTCCACGGAGCGATCGAGGTCCTTGCTATAGCATCTCCTGCCTCATCGACCCAGGTCAGGTCAGGCGACCACATCACGACCCACTGGCGCCGGTGGGCGACCGAAGAACTCTGAGTTCCGGTTGAAATGGAGAAGAACCATGGATTGAGGGGTTCGATGGCATCCCCAATGTTGGTGGTTGATATGGACCCGTATATAAAAGACATCTACTCTCAATCCACTGTACTGGAAATGCCCCCCCCCCCCGGCTCTCGTGACCGGACTTCGCCGTCGCGAACCGAACCGGAAATCGCACGAGCTCTTAGGTAACCCCGCTACCCGTCTGAATTCACTCAAGGTTTCGACCATTTTCCGAATACCAACCCCCCCCAGTGGTTTTGGGGTTCCATGAAGTTCCAAGAGTGGGGGCGCCACTCCTCCGGAAGTAGAAGAGCCCAAGCGTCCATGTACCTCCAATCATGGGCGATGCTCGTGCGCCAAAGCCGTGCATGCTCCAGCTCTTCCTCGACATCCACACCAGCGCCAGCAAAGTGCTCTGAGAACAAGATCGTGGAGAACATGGCCTCACGGGCTTGGAGTCCTTGGCCTTCTACTACCTCAATGGCCACCCAGATCCGCCCATATATAGATCCCCAAAGAGGTAGAAGTTCGTGTCGTAAATCCCCACTTTAAATGTATTGGAAACGGTTTCTGTCTATTATTTAGTATTGGGGGACCACTATAACTTAACAACCAAGGAAATAACAAGTCCAAGGAAAATCGGGTAAATCCAATGGATTCTGGTTTCGGTTCTTGGCCTTGCTGCAGGGGATTGTTCCATACACCAAGCAGCTACCTCGATGTGATTGTCACATGACTCACCGCGGTGACGTCGATGTGAGGGTGTCGCTCTATCATCTGGCCTGGTTCGCCTAAATGACCTCCAACCTGCCCGAGACTCGACTTCCAAACGGTCAAAGCCACCAGCAAAGTTGCACTCCTCCAGTGCTGGGTTTTTTACATCCACCCGAAAATGTCTTGACCTTGAACTACTATTTTACTCACGCCTCCTCGCCACTTGCACCACGCGTCCTCGCCTGCATGCCGATGTTGACGATCAGCAAAATGGACGAGAACAGGACGTCCCACAAGCCGCTCCGGAAATCCAGGATCAACGGGAGATTCCAAACGCTTCCACCGAAGTCCACCTGAAGCCCAGCGGGGGAACCAATGCAGTCGCGAGGCGCCGAGAAACAATGCTGTTTTTGGATGTGTTTGGGGGTGTTTGCCCTCAAGATACGTAGTGCGCGCTTCTTATACACACACATAAATATATATATATATACACACATATATGCGCATATCATATATTGTCCGTATACTCCATACTATTCAAGAGAGGGAGGAGCAGCAAATTCAAGCTTCTATTTCGGAATGCGATGGAACGTCTGCGGCAAAAATGGCATTCCTGTGGCTCCAAGTGTTGGCTTTGGCCTAACTGGCAGTTGGGCCACGGAGGTATGACTGGATGTTTCAACTTCCCCCACTTAGCGAGGAGCGTCCCAGGCAGGGTGATACATATATTCAAATACAGATTTCCTGAATTACAGGAACTCCGCTATGGAATTCGATTGCCAGGGCCAGGGTGGTCAGCAATGCCTTACTCTTGCACGTCCAGATTCACCCTCCGTAAATACATGTAAATACTCTTCATTACTCTTCCAAGAGGGGCCTTGCATCATAGAGCAGCTCAGTGCACCCCACATTCGCCACCCCCACATGGTACCACATCTCCTTCACCCCGCTTTGGCCTTGTAAGGAGAATCGGCTTCTCGGGCCGGATGCTCAGTGGGCGCATCAATCCTTAAACTCATCTCTGAGCTGAGCTGATTGGTCATCTGACTGCTGACCTGCTGGGTGACCGAATTGCTCTCCTTCGAGGGCCTTGAGGCGCGGCCTTTGTCAAGATGCTCCTGCAGGGCGGATCTGGAATGGTCCCGATCCTCTCAGGAGTGAGCTCGAAGGCACTGGTGGACTCCAAGGGTGGTGAGTTGAATGAAATGCAATCAAATGCCTCACAAGAAGGAGATATAATGAGATATATAGGCCAGGTAAGGGATGGTTAAGGCTTGACAATGGTTATTCGCACCTTCTGCATTTGGAGCCCCCGGGGCGCCAAATGAAGGCTTTGCGGCTTGTGCCCTAAAAAGGCATTACCGCGACGACTACGGCCGCGCGGTGGTCTGCGACCGGTCGTGAGCGGTGCCTCCTTGACCTTGAGTCCCAGCTGGGCATCCAGGAGATTCAAACGTTCCTGGAGCTTCTCAATGGCCTGATTTCCAGCGGCGCGGCGCCCACCGGCGGCACCCACCGCCGCTCCCAGGCGCGGCGGAGGGGAGGTGTGATTGGAATTGGGGATTCATCTGTTTCCTTTGGACATGGCCTTCTATGAACATGAAGCGTGCTGTGGGGGAAACCCAAGGCCCTATAGGGGCTGCCCCAAGAGTCTGCGAGTGAGTTACTGCATTTTGGGGGGCATGGTGAGAAGAATTTCGCTCACCTGGGTGCCACGTAGCTTTCTCCACATGCTTTCTCGGCCGACTTGCGCTCCGACGGCCGTGCTCCCGTGTGATTCAGTGCATCCGTTGTGCATGACCGGCATGGTCATGCCACGAGTTGAGTAGAGGTATAGACCCTGGGAGTCCAAGACTGCAAAGACTATCTATAAAATGAATTGTCTTTATAACCCAGACAAGAAGTTCCATTGACTCCCAGCGTGTATATGCGTTCCAAATTGGATACGGATCGTCGCTGTGGATATGGCATCTCAGAAACTCACTATGTAACGTAAACATGGCCTTGGCCGACGCGGTACGATGTTCATTCATCGAAATCCCCAAAGGGACCCAGGAGTGGATGTAAAACTATTCTGGAAAAAGTAAGACAAAGCATGAAAAAGCTATACAGGGTCCCCTAAGGGGTGTCCAATAATGACCCCTTAGAGGTAGGGGGCCCGGTGCTAATCAACATGTCTCAAATGTTTAAGGTCAGCTTTCCCCGCCTCCAGCACTGAGTCAAACTCCTCGCGCCGGACCCAGACCGGCGCCTGGGTCAATGGAACATCGTGGAACAGCGGATCAAAGGAAACCAAAGAAAGCGTCACCAGCCACTGCCGGACATTTTGGACTTAGCAACCTTGGAACCTAGTGGCGGGGTATCTCTCTCTGGTCTATCTCTTCGAGCGCCGCTCGCAAACCATCGCGAGCGGCGAACGTCGCTTGGTGGTTTTCCGAGCGAGCTTGGGAGCGCCATCGCGGGCCAAGGACTCCGGGAGATCCGCCGGACTCCGGGAGATCCGCCCATTTTCTTTGCAAAACACGACTTGAGGATGTAAAAGGCCAGGTTTTGTTGCAGGCCTTCCTCAAAAAATAGTGATTGACCGACGGTGACTGGTAATGGGCTACACCCTAAGTGTATACACCAGGAGTTTCAATGATGAGCCCCCGGAAACGTACATATCTCAGCCGAGTGGTCATTGTCAACGTGCGGCCAACCAAGGTCGATCCCAACAAACCAAATCTGGGAAAAGATACCATCACCTCAAGAACTCACTGGAAACGTGTTTTTGGTGAGCCGGCCACAGGGAGAAATCTCAGCACGGTTCGATGAAGTCGCCGCGCCAAAAACACCTGCGCCTGGTCATGCTCTGGTGGCAAGGCGGTCTCCACTGGCAAGAGCTCAATGGGGCCATTATGATGCGTGGCGGAGCAACAGGAATCCATGGCACTTACACGAAGACCACGGTGGGACACGAATGAAGGGTTTGCGATGGTTTGTGCCACTGCACTCAGCTTTCGACAGCCTTCCTTCTGCCGCTGTTTGGATTTCGACGAACTGCCACAATGTTCTGCCATCATTGAAATTAGGTGTAGGGCTTTGATGGGGCTTCTGGCGTGGACTCTGCCACTTCAATAGCACAGTTGCAGAAACTTACAGGTCTAGCCAAACTGATTGAGCTGGTAGTTGCATATGTACCCGAAGTACACCAAAACAGCCCTTGAATAGCTAAGCCAAGCTTTTAAAGAGTTGCAGCTGCAAAGCACGAAGTCGGTGTCCGTCGATGTCCGCCGTGGCAGCCAGACTCCCATGATTCACTGCATAGTCTATCCCTTCGCACGGCTAAGCACGGCCTGTCTGTTTGGGTGTCGGACTTGTCAGGGTCAGTGGTTTGCCCACCCCTGGGGCCCTTGGCTGAAAATATGTTGCATCATTCTATTGTCTTGTCATGTCTTTCTATTTGCCTTATGTTCATAATAATGCACATATAATGAAGGAACAGATATTAAATGATAATTACTCTAGACATCTCTAGACTCTAGAAGTGCAAAGGCAATTTTGCACTCCCCCGAATTAAAGGAACCCCCTTGTCGGGTCGCCGAAAACAGTCTTGGACTTCCAGGCTATTTACATTTCTCCAACAAGCATCCGGTGAAAGGAAGCGACCTAGTCACACTCCCATCAGTGGACTCCGACAGTCGTTGGCCAGTCTCCCCAGTCTCAGAGGCTCTGACTCCCCCGGTCTCCAAGTGGAACGCACGTCACTCCTGAACGGGTAAAATCCCGAACCACCATTGTTAGCATTGTTGCACTAAGGTTTTTGCACTACAATGCCAGGTCAACCATGTTTTTCAGTCCTTGGCCATGGGATGGATCTGATCTTGTCTGGCAAGGGGTGAACGGCTCCAGGTTCGGGCCCTCTGTTGATTGAGGAAGAGGATTGCCCTTCAAGACCCTAAACCCTAAGCCTCTCGCCGTCGCCCCCCCTCTGCTTCGTCCTGTTCGTAGCTGCCGAGGCCTGTCGGTCTTGGGGCTCTGAACTGATCCAAACTGTCGAGGCTCAGGAACCCCATGATCCCAGCTTACACGGCTTACCCGGCTGACGCTCACCACCGGAACGCGGAGGGGAGACACATGCAGCGAACTGCTCGTAGAGGCGAACATGAACTAACGTCTGAAATTTTACACGATGGTGTGATGCAACGGGTGGCGACTTCGTCTTCCTCTCACCAAAACCATGGAATTCCGGAAGTTACAGGAGTTCCTTCTCGCGAGCCGAGCTTGTGGAGGGTTCCCCCCTCCCCAAGCCGATGCGTGTCCTTTGAAAGAGGATGCTTTGTCCGGGTGGTTCTTAGACTGACGTCAGTCAGTGAGTGGACCGTCTACAATTCCGCCGTTTAAAGCATCCAAGCGTCGGTCGTCACCGTCGTCACCCAACCGCCGTGCTTGTCACCGTCTGATTCATCTGTGTCCCAAAAAGGCACCAAGTCCAAACATGTCCAAACAAAGCCCGGAGCCCCGTTCTTGGATTTACTCCCTGAATCCATAAAATTTGGCAAACAAATTCAGGCACATGAGATGTCTCGCTCTTATCTTTCCTCCTTCCACCAGGAATAGGTCCTTCGAGTCGGGCGTTTTATTTTGCAGGTTCCCAATGCATATCACGGACCTCCTTCCATCTCGATCATGTGTACATGTGTATATAAGATGAAAAAGGCAAAGCTTTGAGGATTTTGAGGTCAAAGGCGAGTCAAAACTCCACTTAGCGAGATCTTCATCCTGCCCCTTCTTCCGCACCCTGCTCCCACCCCACAGGACCCGTCGGCCTGCAGCCCGTGTCACCGCGCACGGATGTCTACATCCTCGAGTGAGCTAAACACAGCGAAACACGGCTTGGGAGAACCATTCTGGGGCAGATTCTGCATAACATCTACAACAACGTGCGGAAGAAGAGCCGCAAAACAATGCAAATGTCATATGATTTCGTCCAAATTTATCCGGCCTCTCTGCGTCAACCCCGGATTTTCGGCCGCTGTTCAGCAGCCCGAGCTGGGAAAGCGCGTCAGTGCAAAAGGACACTGGGATAAAATGGCGCATAGCCATTTTCCACTATTCTTGAATGCTTGAGCCGTCTTGCATACAGCTGCAGTGAGCGATCAGTAGCACTTGCAAAATCAGCTCAATTTTGATGGCGATGATGTGACTGGCATATAACATATCTTGACTCTCCGATGTGTTTGGCCATTAGGGGTCATGTAGGCATATACACTTTTTCGCCTACATGGACAACATTGGGTGCATATTTATGCATGTATAATATACACCTACATTGGGATACACGGATACACTGTTATATTTATAAAAACAATATAAAATATATATAATATACAAGCGCGCAAACGCCATACAGGTTTTTTTTCCACCCGTGGAGTGGAACATGGGGTTTCTCGAAACCACTGAGTCACCCCTCACATCTCCACACCCAGGAGAGTCGCGTGGGTTCCACGGGGTGTTTCACCAACGGCGGCGTGGGGTTTTTTCGGGTTGAACCGGTGGATGGCGTGTAGATGGAAGATGATGGACGAAGGAATTCTTATATTACAAAATATTATATAATGTGTTGTTCTCGGTGCTTCACCCAAACTGTGATAAATCCCATAAGGTTCTCAGGCCTCGAGTCTTCCAAGGCTGAAAACCCCAAGACTGAAAGCCAAAAACGACCAACCTTAGTGCATCGGTGGTTCAGTTCAGAATTCAGGCTCTCTCCAAGCAAAGCGCCGCGTACATTTCTCCGAGGTTAGGTCTATTGCCCTTCCCATAGAGGGGGTGGCGGTTCTGTCAAGCGGCGGACTCTTGAACTTAACGGGCCTGCTCAAAAAGCAAGGTTGCTGCAGTTTGTCGGGCAAAAACCTAAAGACATCAGGTAACACATGCTGCATCATGCTGCTATACACATGTTAGACATTGTTTGCAAACAACGAACCATACCAAATACCAAAATTCTGAACTCATCTTGTGAGACACTCTGGGTGACACATCTTCACCCAACGCTTCACCGATTTCACCGCCAACGGGGATTCCGAAGCCCGCCCGCCCGATGGCCGATGGCAAAAAAGCGCCACCCCCTCTGTTTCGTCGAAACGGCGGGAACCGAGGCATCGGTTCAGCCGACCACGGGCGCGTCCTGCCGAACAGCGCCGACAGGGTGGCGCCGCTCAAGGGCCTTGGGAGGTGGGGCGTCGGCGCGATGTCCGCGGAGGCGGAGGCGAAGCTGGGCGGAGGCGAAGCTGGGCAAGGTGGTTGGGAACCCCCAAGCACTTGATTGAGGGGCTTCATTTGTGTATAGTTGAACTTATATTTGAATACAGTATTGGTGTCAGTTCAATCAGTCCGCTGTCCTGTGAAATGGATCGAGTTTACATAATAATACAAAGTTGGGAATCAGTGGTTCCAAAGACTAAAGCCGAAGACCGGACGAAGCCCTTATGGCTGCCTGCACAGCACAGAAACTGTCCACTTTCTCTACTAGCAAGGGGTGAGGAAACTGCCGTGGTCGCTCTAAGAACCCCGGCTTCCAGTGGAGATCGCCGCTGACCCGGGTCGGCCGGCGACCCAGGCTTCCGCAGCCACCGGCGGTCGACCCATCACTTGGTGGAGAAGGACTCCCCCCTGCGTACACACTGGAAATTTAACATGGAACTAGAGGAGAATAGTCTTCCAAAGGTCCATTTTCAGGTTCCATTTAAATCTTCCCATAGTAAGCCCCCCACGTTGGGCACTCGGCAGCGGATCTAGGGCACCCAGGCAGCGGATCCGGCGCAGGGGCGGCTCAAAGAAAGCTCCCACAGCCAGCCTTGTGCGAGCGAGACGGCAAAGGCAACAAAAACATGGGCGGTTGAACGCCTGCTTTTGCGCCCTCAGGAAATCTCAGGAATGCAAATGACAATGGTTGGCAGGTATGGTTACGCTGTTTCCCTTAACACGTTGAAATATCCTGACTGCCACAGGACACCATTGAGAGCACATACAGTGCACAGTTGTTGGCTGTAGACCAATTGAGTAAAATAACATCCTTCACTCAACGCGCAGCCGCTGACAACAATGTTGTGTTCCTCAGGGCTCCATGAGCAAAGGGAACCCATTATTAATATAACAGAAGCATAGAGCAAAACAAATGCAAGTTTCACAATCCTATATATCAATGTCATATCATCTGCAACAAAAAGAGCAAAACCACAACTTTCACCACCCCACCCCCCATGACTACCCGCTCTCTAAAATAAACTCACCAATTAATACCACATTGAAGCCCTTAAGCATTGAATCTGATGTCAAGTCAACATCTCTGAATCCCCTCTAAGGAAGAACTGGATAGATTGGCCCTGTAACGGTGGCTTGCTTTGACCCATGCGTTGGACCGTGGACTCTTCTGTCCCTGGAGCTGAACGGTGTTACTTTTACATGTACTTGTGCCATCGTGCAATGTATAAATATATATATATATGTGTATATATACTGTTGATCAATAAAGAGCTCCCATTTGGATTGTAAAACCTCTTCATATGGGGGGTATGAATCATTAGGAAGGGAGATTCTAATGATTCTAATGTCTATCAGAGTGGATGACCCTCTGGAAAAGACTCACTTCAAATTGTATTTAAGAAACAGTCTACACACTCGGTCCCTGACTTGAAAGCTGCACCTCCAAAAGACAAGCTCGGTCCATGGGTCCGTGGGTCATTCCTTCCTCTCTCGGTCATGTTCGTAGCTTCGAAACATCGATACCGCCCGGCTTCCGGGTGTGGAGAGTCTGAAACCCACGGTCCTAACCGTCCCGATGGCCCGATGGCACCGACGTCCTGCTGGTCGCAGACCTTCGTTCGACCCCGTGGTGCATCAATGTGCGAGACCGATGGTCCCGTTGGCCCCGTTGGCCCCGTTGGTGTCATCTTCGTCTAATTATGGTCGACTTACGAGGAAAAAGGCACGCAGTATTAGACGCGTCAACCTTTCTTTTGGTCTTGGACAGGGGGAAGGATCCTTCAGCCTTTTGCTTTCTTCTCCCCGACTAGCACGCCTGGTCACATGTGTGAAACGTGTTTTGGGCTAGCAAGGGGTTGTCTGTTGGTTTGGTTTGAGGGGAAAAAATCCATGGTAAAGCTTATCCACCGTTTCCTGGGTAGGCAGGTGTCCACCCACATCCTTCGGGATTCCGGAACCTGTGGGCACTTCCCGCCCTTTCCACGTCGCCGCGAGGGCCAAAGTCACCGGTCGAGCGATGCTGGCAGGCGCGCAGTTATCTAAGCTGGAGGGCCTTAGGAGATGCGGGGAGACGAGAAGTCGAGATGGCCTCATCGCTTGGAGTGGCGTGGCCATTCTGAGCGTCCAACAAACAGATCCAGGAAAATCCTGATCTTTGCCTTAGATAGGGGTCTTGGGGGGACCCGTCGTGACCCTCCCTTTCCCATGTTTGACTTCGTGGAGGGGTCAGGGAACCGTCTGAACGACTGAACTTCACGCCCAACCGACACGGAGCAGCTGAGTCGGGCTTGGGGGGCGGCGGCTTCCTGTTCATTCACCCAAACAGAACCAAGGTCTGGGACTGGATCACTTGGGCCGATCACTTGGGCGTGGTTGATTTCAGGGGTCTTTCTGGGGCGGCATATGTTCCAGATTAGAGACTGTCTGGGTTAGAGAGACCCAGAGAGCTGGTGCCGAGGGACGAGGGCGGCGTCTATAGCAACGGTATACCATTCCTCATCCGGTTGGAACAATTGTGAAAACTGAAGAGACGGGATGGAGCGCACCTGCATGATGACATCTACACCATTCTACGCCTAGGTTCCAAGATTGCGGCAACGGATGGCAAAGGAAAAAGGATGAAAAAGGCTTGTGACAAATGGCAGCGAACCCATCTTGCACTCCGTCAAAGCTGCAGAAACTTCTTGGCATGTCGAAACTTGGAGATGTTGGCTGAATTCTTCTCTTCTACACTCTAAACCTGAAACATCCTGAGAAAACACCTTGAAAAGGCTTTGGTTCAACCACCGCCGAACATCGCAAGAACCGAGCACCGAGGCCTCCTGTGCCCACAACCGCCTCCTACCACCGCCGCTCCGAAGGAATGCCTTGCAAACAACTCCTGACTGGTGCTCGGACAGGGAAATGAGCCAGCCTAGCCGCCTAGCCAGCCTAGCTAGGGTTTCCTAACTGGTCCTATGGTTGGCTCAGGGTCGACTTCCCGACCTGTCCTGTGAATAAACCAGTGACAGATAGTGACAGTCTAGAGTGTCTTCGTGCCTTTCTTCCTGCAACGGGCCTGCCACGGAGCCGCAAGTTCTCTGAGCCCCCGAACTGCATTGGCTCCTGGATGCCTGAGCAGGTCGGGCCATCTTCGCTTCGGAAGCGAGCAGAATGGATGTTTTGCAACGTTGGATAAGGGGCACAATCATTGAGTCATGTGCAACTTTCAATGCCATGGCAGAGAGGGAGAGTGAGAGAGAGAAGTCAAAAACTTGCTAAATTGTTTTAAATATACCAGGACCCTCCAAGGGGTGTCCAATGAACTACCCCACACTACCTATAGGCTTCCATTGGGCACCCGTTGGAGGGTCCTGGTAGATACTACTGTAATACGGTACACGTCGACCGTTTTGGTCTCGTTGCCGCTGCGACGTCTCATTTTGCTACCCGGATCGAGCTGTCGGTGGATCCTCCCGCTCGAGCCCCTCTAAAGGTCGCGTGAGAAGTCTTTTTGCTGAAGGGGTGGCCTTTGACTATATAAAGTATATACCGTATATACTATATAATGTAAAGGGGTAAGCAAAGGTCCTATATATATATATACCGTATACCTTTACTTTGCTTCTTGATCTTCTTGTCGGGAGCGAGTGCGACTGTTAGCAGTACTGTCTCCTTCGCCACTTCGAGTACACGTGCCGGTGCGCCTTATATATGAGCTATATTGGTCAGTGCATGTAGCGACCCGTACCACCAGGTGCAACAGAGCGGTGCGACGCACGCCGAGTCGCACCGAACTGCTGAAATCACTGTGATGGTTCATGGATCTGTCGATGCTTTTCACAACGATGAGCCGGGATGGAGGGAAGCTGTGCGTCCGCTTGACACTAATTCTTTGGAGGCCAAGCCTGGCACCATTCTTTGCTATGCGCCTTTTTGCTTGAAACGACCGACCGACGGCAGTTCTCTGCGGATCGGATGTGGCCGGCCGGACAACGCGACTCCTCTCTTAAGCGGCCCTCCGAGGGGTCTGGACCGTTCGGGTTCGGAGCGGCTGGGGCCCAGCCCCTCCGCTGTGCCAGCGAGCCAAACAGTACACTCCGACGAACACATCGGCATGGTGACGTGGAGAAAAAAAGACCTGTTTGGTCAAGGGAAAGTCATCTTCCTTTCGGGACCATGACATCAACTTCCGCTAGAATCATGCTAGTGAGTCAGAGCGTAAGTCGGTGGAACCCAAGTCCTCGGCTTTTTGAACTCCCGATGCTCGGCATCCCACTCATCGCTCCCTGCTGAACGCCGGCAATGCGAGAGACCACATGCAGATAGGCCTCGCCCACATCGCTCGGGCATCGCGAATCAGGACATATCCTCTTCACTGCAGATGAAGCATCTCATGTAGACTGACTGCTAGACTTGACTATGAACACTATAGTCACCCCCATCTGGATTGAACCTCTTCATATTGAACTGGATTGAACCCCCGCCCATCTGAAGTCATCTGGACAGGTGACAATTTTAAGGTGTATGAAAACTTCCTGTAAGAGGCTTTGGCTGTGTCACAATGATAATGCATACATTCCTTACAGGTAGCAGGGTTTATCATTCCAGCTTCTTCCAGGTGCCCAGAGAAAGGTCTGACGGTCGCCGGACCCACAGGGTCACAAGTCTGGGGACCCGCAAGTTGGGTCGCTTTGAAGAACCCAGGATTGCATATTCAACTCCTGGTTCTGGTATCCTGAGCATATTTCAGGAACATGGAACCAAGGAGTTGTCTGGCATATTCAACTCCTTGGTCCTTGTATCTCTGAGCAGGTTCCAACATGTTTCAACAAGCCTTTTCCTCGGGAAAGGGGCACAAAGAAGACAAGAGGTAGCGTGTGGTATGATCCACCCACTTGGGTGTGTAAAAGGAGGAGATGGAGAACAAACACCTCAGAAAAAATGGTATCGAACACACAAATCATCGAAGAAGAAGGAAGAAGGAGGAAGAACATAGAAGAAAACAAAACACATGATGATGATGATGATGATGATGATGATGATGATGATGATAAGGGCCATGAGCGGCTCAACCCCCATCCCCACGGTGCTGCGGGGGAAGTGCGGGACCGTCTATCCTCTCCATGGGCAACCCGGAGCTGATCACCTCGATCACTGAGTTCTCCGGCAACCGGATCTTTGCTCATCTACTTGGAGAACACAGTGGACAAGTTCCCTTTCACCAGGTGGTCGGCCTCTACCTGTTCAGGTTCTATCTCCTGTCCTTTGTGACGGTGGTTGCCTCCCTCTTCTGGCTCCTTAGGCAGAAGGTCTACTACCACCTCCGCTCTACCTGCACCTGGCAACGGACCAGGCCACAGAGGAGACGACCACCCGCTGCACCGAGCAGCCAAGCTCACCGGGGTCCCAAGTCCCCGGCCAGGGTGGGACCTGGCCTCCTGGTACATTGTGCTGCAGGCCTCATCATGGCCTTCATCGTGAACCAAGAGAGTGCCTTAAATCCCAATGCACCACCCTGGTGGCCTGAGGGTTCTGGGTCAGCCACAAGACCCAGTAAAGCCATCCAATCTCGGGACTTCTACACCCTCTCTATGGCAAAGCCAAGTGGCACAGGACCTAAACCAATACACCTGGAATCGGAAAAACCTCAACACAAAAAGAAGGCCTATATTCGTGCACTCAAACGAGCTCAACTTCATGGACACACATGGTATAAAGGTCAGCTTTTCACGGCAGCCATGTTTGGCACTGAACAACTTCAAGCACCCCTGGACAACCAAGGTCATCACACCAGGCAGAAGCTCAATGTGGCCCCTCCGGCAAAAGTCAGGAAAAACCGCCTCACGGGCTTCAGCTGGAACATCTGCTCCTTGAGCTCCTTCAAGTTTGACATTCTGAGGCAGTGGATGCGCTCCCAACACCTAGATGTTCTATTTCTCCAGGACACTCGGTGGGGATTCAGCGGTGATTGGCAGGACTCTCAATTTGCCTATATTCACAGCGGCTCAACAGGGAAAACCGGCGGCCTGATGGTGATCATCCGGAAAAACTTCTGCCCCACTGACCGCATCTCCTGGCGAGAGACCCTTCCAGGACGGCTTCTCCACGTTCGACTTTATCTACCCTCCTCGGGGATTGACCTTCTCAACATATATCAACACGCATGGATTCAGCATGATCCTCTATGTCTTCAACATCGAGGGGAACTCCTTCATGCTTGTGATCAACTGGTTGCTGGTCTTCCCCAACGGAAAGTGGTCATCTTGGGGGGAGACCTCAACACCAGCCTTCCCCACATTCCACATTGCGTGGGACTCCACGACTTTCAAGACCAGAAGGGAAGAAAGGCTGGACCACGTCACCCTGACTCCGGGAAGCTGGGTCATCTCCTCACACAGCATGGGCTCACAGCTATCAACACTTGGGATCCTTCTCTTGGGCCCACCTACATTGGCGGTCTGGCTCGGCAATCCCGGATCGACTACATTATGGTACGACACAAGTCCAGTGACTCATTCACCAAGAAGCCCATCTACCTGGAGGACCTGCCCGCTCGCTTTGGGCACACCAAGGATCATGTGCCCATTCTCTTCACCGTTCCTTACAAATGGAGGGCCTGGAATCACAAGCCGGTTGGTCTTCCTCGTGGACAACAAGAACTTCTCCTTCGGCACTGGGACTCGAACAGTGAAGAGTGGCAGAGGCCATCACTGGACTCAGGGACGATCAACCAGACCTGGAGGCTCTCAACCAGATTCTCCTTGCCGGTTGTCAGAACTTCAAACCACCTGTGTCGGAGCCAGAACGACCCTCACCAACCTTCTGGACCTGGGCCAATGGACATCCAGGACTTGCTCTTCCGGAAGTGGCTCGGAGGACTATCTACTCAAGTCGTCTTCAACAGCTCTTTGGCAAATGGGTCAAAGTGGTTAGAATTCAATCCTGGAAAAGATCCACGAACCAAAAGCCAGGGAAGCCAAGAAAGACAAGCTGGCACAGACCATTGCACAAGCCAGGCGACACTGGAGCAACAATGACTCCCACAAATACTTCAAGGTGGTGAACTCTCTCACACCAAAAACACGGCCATCTCGGCCTCATCTCCGACGGCATGCTGGTCAGCTTATGTCACCGGAAGAGGAACTGAGTTGGATCCAAGAGTACATGGCAAACCTCTATGCAGGAGTTGATCTTCCAGCTCAACAATTTCATCTGACTGCTCTCCCCTTTGAAGCACCGGACCTGGTTCAGGGACTACATGCGCTCTATGGACGCACCAGTGTTCCGCCTCATGTGGCTCCTAGCTTCGTATGGAAGGCGCTGGCCACCTCCATTGGGTCACTTGTCTTTGGATGGGTGAAACTTATGGGGGCTCATTCCTCAAGAATGGCGGAAAGGATGGGTTGTTCTTCTGCCCAAACCGAACAAACAACCGGTTGAACCGAAAGTGCTTCGTCCGATTGCTCTTTAGACTCCGCTCTCCAAGACGATCATGTCACTTTTTGTTCATGAGGCAAGGAAGTTTTCACTGCCAACCCTGACCTGGTATCCACAGTTTGCATACCTTCCGGGACGAGGCACGTGGGAAGCAATCACACGGGTTCAAGCACACGTTCGGAAGGTCCAAGCTCTTCATCATCGATGGCGATATGACGCCAATCAGAGGGCAGATGAGAGGACAACACGTCCTCACGTGTTTGGAGGATGTCAGCTCTTTCTTGATCTCACCGGAGCCTTTGATGCCATGCCTCGTGAGCACCTTTACTCAGCTTTTTCACTCATTGGTCTACCTCATGATCTCATCTCTCTCCTGATGACATGGCACACACAGACCTCATATGTGATTCAATGGAAAGGACTCTCTGCCGAACAATCCACCTTTAGAGGTGTGAGGCAAGGTTGCCGGGGCGCCCCCTTTTTTTGGGCAAGCTTCATTGCACTGGTGTTGAACTTGATAGCACACGAATCCTCAGAAGAATGGATGCGTGAATGCTGCACCTTCTATGCAGATGATGGTCATGCCTGCTTTGTTTTTCAGACCATGGCAGAACTTCAACAAGGCCTACAACACTTTGGCACCGTTATTTCTGTCCTTGAAAAGCTGGGCATGACCGTGAATATGAAGAAATCTGCCGTCATCTTAAGATGGGGAGGCAAACAACAGAAACAAGCCAGGCAGCAATTTGTGAAAAAGAAGCTCGACCACACAGTCCTTTGTATACCACAAGAAGCAGGGGGCTCACACGAAATACCGATCAAAGAGAAGCACGAATACTTGGGAGTTCAGATGGGATACAACAATTTTCAAAAAGACACCATGAAAGCTCGGCTTCACGCATGCAAAGTTCGTTTCAGACAAATGCAGAAGTGGTTCTCGACCAACGGCATGCACTCGGCTCAGAAGGTGGCTCTATGGCAAACATGCATCTTTCCAATAGGAGTATATGGCTTGGATGCAACTGGAACAGATCACACCTCAATTCCTTTGTTCTCCAAGAACATGACGTCCATGCTTCGACAGGCCGCAGGCGACCACTCCTTCATGACACACACTTCTCACATGGACTTTTTGACAGAGCACCAACTCCGCCACCCGGTGCTTTCCCTGCGGGAGCGGATGGCCTCTCAATTGAAGCGGCATGAGGACAGACTCTCCTCACTTCAAGAGCATGACATCCACCTTCTTGACCTCAGTACACTCCAAAGCTCCATTCACCTTACTGACTCTTGGCTTCAGGACCTTGGAGATCTGGATATGCAACCCAAGCTCCCCTTGGCGGAGGCAGGACTTGACTGTCAGCAATGTGGGCTGACCTTTCAACATTTATATACACTGCGGCGACATGAGTTGCATGTTCATGGCATTCTACATGCCGAGGGTCCCACGCTGGACATAGCTAGAGATGCGGTTGATGGGAAACCTACCTGTCGGCACTGTGGCGAGACCTTCGTTAGCTGGCAAAACCTCCGACACCATATTCACTCCTTCTCCTGTTCGGAATTTGACTCGACCAAGGCACCACCAGCAGTTCTTCAACAACACGGGCATAAACTCCTGGAATACTACGACGAAGGTGACCTGGCCCCCCTGGCCAATGATCGAGGCCTTTGCTATTTCCTGACCCAACGGTGCATTCTTTGTGGCTTTTGGTCTTCGAGACTGCAGCAAATGTCTGCCCACATGGGTCGAGATCATGGAGATGTCTATGCGCTGATGGGGAGGTTCTGCCCAATGTGATCAGGGCCCGGACCAACTCACCATGCGAACTTTGTGGACAGGACTTTCGATCGAAAACGCACACCTGTCCTGTGAAGAAACAACTGGGACTTGCTCTTGCTTACCGGAAACACCGTGAACAATTTCCGGCATGTCCACCACCGGTCCCACAACCTCCGCAGAGGATGGATGCTCAATTTGCTTGTGCTCAATGTCCCAGGAAATTTGTGACTGCCGCAGGACTTCATCAACATCAATCCATGGAGCATGCTCACTCTACCCTGACCAGGACTTTCCTTGCATCCAGGGATCAAGTTCCTGGGCTGACACAATGCGCACACTGTGAGGCCTCCTTCCTCTGTCTTGCAGCACTACGGCATCACATTGATGGAGGTCACTGTCCTGAACCACTTCCGGATGCTCCTTCTCTCCTCTGGCATCACCCAGTGGTCATCTCTGGGCTTCACGGGGGCACATTTGATCATCTACTAGCCTACAAGTCACTGATCCGGAGGTTGGGATACATTTGTGGCCTTTGTGGCCATCAATCATCCAGTTCCTCCTCTCTTCTGAAGCATCTCAGCTCGGCTCACTCTACCTCCTGGACTATGGCAACCACGTATGCTGAATGGCTTCAAACTGACAGTGCTCTGCGGAACCTTGGCTGCTCCTGTCTTAGACCTCCGGCGACTCCACATGTTTGCACGGTCTTTACACAGCTGGCCCTCTTTGTTCACCATGACCTGCACAAACTGAAGGATGCCAGCGATGAGCTTATTTTGGCACATGCACTGAAGCTGGACTTACAAGTTCTCAGCCCCTCCATTGCCATGAACTTTCCACACTTGGACAGCCTCCTCGCCACGGGAGTTTTTGACGAAATTCTTGGAGATGGCACACTCTGCACAGCCCTTAGTACTTGGTGCTGCTTATGTGGACGGCAGGTTGACCCCAGAGACATGCTTCAACATCTTTGGAACAATCATGCAAAACATGGAAACCGCGGGGGGCTGTTTTACAAGTTTCTGTCTTTCTATCAAAAGAGGCAGCAACAGTGTTCAGTTTGCAACTGTCATCAAACCGCAGTACAGTGCCCAGTGCTCCTTCAGCTAGCCAGCCTCCTTGCCATTCTTCATCATGGACATGGAGGGCAACCAGATCTCAGAGATGTGGGGGGCCCTGAACCAGTGGGTGAAGATGGAGGTGGACGAGGACAAGCAGACAGCAAAGCGCCCGAGGTCTTCCATGTCGAATGGCGCGAAGGGCCAGGGAAAAGGAAAAGGAAGAAAAGGGCAGGGGAAGATCCAGAACATGCAGGACGAGTCCACACCAGATTCAAGAACACTCCTGAATGCACTGACCCGCCTCGTTCTTCGACACGAAGACACGCTTCAGTGCCTGGCCATGGAGACGGACTTCTTCGTTTTTTTGAGCGCGGGACCAGGCTCAGTTCTTCCCAGCATGATGAACCAGACGCAGACCTGGCAGCAGACTCCAACTGCGGAAAGGACGCATCCACTCAGGATCTTAGTCCTGAAGACACTGCTGGAGGAACTGTTGAAGAGAATACAGAAACTTCAATCCACGGCCTCCTCCGATCCCTTGATCCAGACATTGCTGCGCCTGAACTTCTTGCAACCCGAGCCAGAGAAGGGAGACTCATTCATATTTCCTCGTATGAGGTGGAATTCCCAGAAGCAGCAGATGGAGGCTCAGGAGGACACGCCCCTGACCATGCAGCAAGCCACACAGACAGTGACCAGGATGCTCACTCTGCTTCAGCAAGAAGCCCTGATCAAAAGATTCGGAGCCCTACGTCCCCAACAGCAGATCCAGAAGGCCATGACCACGGACACGGAGTCACCGTCAGCCATCATTCCCTGGCGGATCACACTGGCCCTGGTTCACACTCATGCCAACGAGATGAGGGGACTCTGGCACCAACTCAGTCATTCAGGACTCTGGCAACTAGTGCTTGGACGGATGCGCCCAGCCAGCTCTCATCGAACACCACTTGCACAACAAGTTGGCAAAATGCTGGAACAACTGTGATGGCCTCAACATCACCTCCACTGAGGACGCTTCAGAATCCTGCAGCCGCCTGCTACATGAACTCAGCGGCCACTGGTTTAGCCTGGAGTGCACTCAAGGCCAATGGTTTGAAGGCGGACCAATGGTCCAACTTCCCTGGGGCATTAGGGGACTTGGCAGATGTGTCCAAAGGGCAGTCCATGCTTTTATGGGCGGATGGGCAGTGGACCACCCTCTTGGCCAACTGGCCCAATCCTTTTCGGCAGCATGATGTGGTTGACTTTGCTCATCATCTTCTTCAACAAACCAATCCTCTTTTTCGCAGTTGTTGTTGGGAAAGCCGGCTGGAGGATGAAGGCCAATTGAAAGTGGTTGACCACAATGCCCAAGGGTGCCCACTACGACTCTACATCTGCAGCGAGCAAAAAAGCACCCTGCCAATTGACCTTCAAGGTCTTGTTTCCAACTGGAGCCTTGCATCATTCGGGTTACACGCCCTCACCGAACCAGCAGACGTCACATGCCTGCACATTGACCGCTTTGACTCCAAGGGACGGAAGAGTCACACTCGACTGACATGGGATTCTAAGGTGTGGCTGCCATACTTCCTGAACACAAAGTTGGAGGTCGACCACATACCGTTCATCGTCATTGGCGTCTCTTTCCACTTGGGGTCAGAGGCCTCTTCGGGACACTACAACACGGCCATTAAGGACGGTGACTCATGGTGGGTCTACGACGACGACAACATGCCGGTGAAGTTCTCTATGCTTCCACTGGTGGCTCAGGAGAACTGCTGCCTACTTTGGTTGAACTGCACACCACATGGAGGTGCAGAGGAGGTCTCTGCCCTCTCGGACGAATCGCCCATCCTGACGGACCAGGAAAAGATCCAGAACATCATCCATGACCCGGCCACCAATGACGAATGGCACAGCAAATGGCTGCAAGGACTGGATTTGATGGACACGGATTTGCTGGTGGACCATCCTCGACTTTGCCACCGATTGGTGAAGAAGTGCATCACGTGTGGAAGCTGGCCTCGCGACCTGAACTCACACATGCAGGTGGCCCATCGCTCCTTGTGGGAAGACAGCAGCTCTCTGGCAGAACAAGGCGCAGTGAACTTCCTTTCCAAAGCTCACCCCACAAGATGGTGCGCTTGCCAACCGTTCCACAGCATTGGCATGAATGAAGACCATTGCTGTCCATGCCTGCGGCAGTTCGCAATGCTGCACCTGGCATTGAGATCCCATCAACGGGCAGAAGCAAAGGCTTCGACGTTGGCCCGGCTCCTCGACAAGAATTTTAGTTGAGGAAGGCCCTCCGGGGCGCAGGTGGGACCAAAAGGGTCCACGCATTCATCGACCGATGAGCGTATGAAAGATGATGATGATGATGATGATGATGATGATGATGATGATGATGATGATGAATTCCTCAGATGTCTTCAGCACATCCACCAGCCTTTCTTCCGGATGTTGCTTCCCTTTTTCTCCCCCCCACCGGCGGCTCCAGACGGACGCTCCAAGTCTCCGAGCCGCCACGCAGCCCACGGCATGCCCGCTGATGATGATCTGCCCGTGGGCCGCTGTCCGTGTTCTGCTTGGGTGAGGGGACAGGCGTCAGAACAGGTTCGGAAGAGAACAGAAGAACTCACCCGATTTGTGCTCGAACATGGGTTTCGCCATGGCCCACAATGTCGAAGACTGGTTGTGCCATGGCCCACCATCTGAATCTTTCTCTCGCCCGAGGTCTGGCTGTGTTTATCAGCCATTTTTGAGAGGCAAAGAACATGTTGTTGGCTCATGAAAACCAGATATGACCCTCAGGCTTCTCTACCCTGCCTCCTTCTTGGTGCTGCAAGTGTGAGTTTTTGGGGGGACACATGGTTTCGAGGAACTTAGGAGGAAGCACCAGATGTGCCCTGAGCGAGGCAGATTCGTGTGGATCATGGAGACCTGGAGACCTGTTGGTTGGGGGAAGCGTGTTCGAAAGCTTCAACAACAAGAAGCTGTTCTTCCCATAACTTTCATCCTTCAGCCAAGCACCACCCAGTGACCTGGTGCTTGATAGACCTGCCAAACCATGGGGTGTTTGTTCCATCCAAGAGCCACCCAGCCCTGCATCATTCATGGAAGTGCAGAACATGCCAACTGACATGAGGGGTTCCATCGGTGTTCCAATCACACAGCGGCTAATACAGTAGGCACCCAATCACCAGACGAACCGTGCGACTCGTAGGGAACGAGGAGATGAACCACCCCTGTAGATACCTCAGGATCCAGCCACCCTTACTCCTTCCATCTCCTTCCATCTCCTTCCATCCAGCACCCCGTCAGTCACGTTGGGGATTCCTTGGTCTTCCTTGGTCTCAGCCGGTCTCAGCGTCCCGACCGCTTTCTCTCCCAGGTTCCCCTCCACGTCTTTCACATCGATGTGAGTTCCCGTGGCTCCTGGGCGCGTGAGTGGCGCCGAAGCGCGTGGGTAGGAGCCGACAGCTGCGGTCTTCGAATGAGGTGAACTGAGAAGAAAACATGGAAAAGATGTGCTGAATTTACTGCACCTGAACAGCAAACAAATGATAGATGGCGTAACTCCATCTATGTCTTGGATTGGTTGGGAGCTAGGTGTCTTTACGAAACCAAAAGCATGCGCGGTGCGTTGCAGCATCCATATGTTAGGGAATCCAAATGTGCATTTTTTTTGTTCAATCACGTTCGCACAAAAAATCCGTGCATCCGGCCTTTTTGGTCAATTGGACAAATTTTATGGAATTCCTCCGAATATTGGGTTTGATTGGGTTTTATCCATATACTTGTTTGGGTTTTTGTCGATAACATGTTGATAAAGTTTGGGTTTCACATGGGTACGCTTTTGTACGGTATTGTTTTTCTGTCCATACGGCTAAATACGCTAATTCGTTAATTAAAATGTCCATATGATAAATTCTGCCCCAATACGGCCTTCGCACAAAAAAACGTGTTCATACGCCTTTCCAGGTGCCCACGTGGACAGACTCCTTTCAACGAGACTCTGCCTGACCCTGACTCTGCGTCATGCCTGCAAAAATGAGTCAAAGCACGTATAGACCGTATAGTGGATTTATATAAATGGCACAACCCCCAAAGAGGTGGTTTATAACTTATAACTATATGGACCCCCATCTGTTCAGGACATCATGGGGCCTGCGCCATTTCTCACCTCTGAAACCACTGTATGTCCATCCTGTTCGTCTTGCACAGCGGCCTGAGATCTCAATCAGCCCAGTGCCGCCCAGCAGACTGCCGACCTCAAGAGGTACGCCAAGCTCAGCTGGCCATGTCAGCGTGAGGCTGCCAAACCAACATCGCGACAGTTCAGCACAGACCCAAAATGACCACTGCGTGGTAAGACATGTCAAAAAGAAAAACATGTACTAACTTTCTGGTCATTCACTGCAAAGACTTTCTTTCACCTCACCTGCCATGGTCAACGTGTCCAAAAAGATTGGAGAACTTGAGGCCAGAGGGGGTGAACGAAAGCTAGCCGGGCTTCCGGTGGTCTGCTGCTGGTGCTGCTGCTGGTGCTGCTGCTGCCGCTGCTGCGCTGGGCGCTGCTGCGCTGGGTGCTCTGCAGGCGCCGGGTCGTCTGCTGCTGCTGCTGCTGCTGGCGCTGGGTGGTCTGCTGCGGCTGCTGCTGCCGCGGCGTTGGGTATGCTGCTGCTGCTGCTGCTGCCGCCGCTGGGTGGTCTGCTGCTGCTGCTGGTGCTGCTGCTGCTGCTGCCGCTGCTGCGCTGGGCGCTGCAGATGCTTGGTGTGCTGCAGCTGCTTGGTGGTCCCGCTCACCGCGCGCAGGGGGGAGTCGAACCGCGGGGGGGGGGGGGGTCCATAAGATTGATTTAATCAATTATTTGAGGTTTCTGAGGTGCGTCCACCCCGTCACTTAACTTGCTAAAGCAAGAGCAACTCCAGCTAGCTAAGGCTAGCTTTCGTGACATGGCTCCTTTTAAGGGCAAACGCGAAATCCGAGACCTTCATAGTACGTCGAAGGGGGGTCATCAATGGATGCACCCATGCACAACATAGTATGGTCAATGTCCATAGACCCACAGGGGGCCCTATTGCACAAAGGTTGGGGGTCATTCCCGTCTCATCAATCAACCAAGCAAGGCCGAAAAAGCTGGCAATCTATTATATAATGTAGAATCTTGCTGAATCAAAACCCCCAGACGTGGATGGTAAAACCTGCTCATATCGTTCGTATGGGGGGTTAGTTATATTGGAATAGAATGACATATAGAGCCTACGGCAGCCTACATGAATCTATGAATCTATGACGGTCGGTCGGTTGGCGCCGAAAGCGGACATCTCAGTTCGACCGGCTTGGACACCGGCCAGTGTGGTGGGGCAAGGGCATTGCACCACTTGAGAATGATCCTCGGGGACGTGTCCCGTGTCCGAAGACATGACATCAACGATCCTGGAAGAAGGACGGGTCTGACAGCCTGGATGGTCCACTGAACATGGAACTGGATGGTCGCGAAGACGAACTCATATTGATCGTTGCTGATCTTGTTCAAGGTGGAGCCTGAGTGTATGAAACTTGAGTTGGGTATAGAATCAATATGATTAATATATACCTCCAACATCATCCAACATCATCCAACCCAGCAACCCATTTTTCGGCACTTTACTATCCAACACACCAACCAGAACGCATGGCAGCCATGCCGGACCGGCCTACTTCAGATGCCGGCCTGAGGATCTGCTAAGTGGCTTGGCAGGGCCTGCAGACCACCTGACAGGCTGAATCCCCGCACCCGCGGGCAAACGGATCCCACACGACCCGAGCCAAACCCTTCCTGCTCATTGGGGCAGGGGCCAGGCTTCTTTTTGGAGCAGATGGCTTCATCATGGTTCATCGATCTGTAGTGGACATGTTCATCAATTGGCCGGGCGAACGAATCCGGACTCCGCTTCGGGCACCGCCACGGTAGGCATCCAAGACCGACGCATCAGAAAACGCCACCGGGTCCGGCGACCCCGGGCGACCGGCTTCGACTCGGGAAGGTGGGGCCTTGGAGCTGCTCTAAGCCCGCCTGGGACGCGAGGCGACGGTCCGGCGAGAGAAGAAGATGCGACGAGGCGACGGTCCGACGGTCCGACCAACAGCGTGGCCGGTTGGGTCCGCACGGGGTCCCCCAGAAAAAAAGAAGCGGTAGAAGGAAAAAATGTCTTAAAATGTGTCTTTCTTAAGTTGGGGGTCACTAAAAGGCAATGGGTAGAGTAGTAACTGGATGTAACTGGTCCTGGTATGTAGTAGGCTGAGAATGGCTGAATTGGGTTTTTGTTTGATTCGCTGACTTGAACGACCATCCAATGCCGCATCTCTTTGCAAAACTGTGCCCCCTCCCCACCTAATCTCCACCCGCTGGCAAATATTGAAAGTAAAATGCTAGCAGAGGGGTTGAGTATGGACCGGCTCAGCAGCTAAGAGCTTTTCCCCTGAAGGACTCCCCCACCTCACCAAAACATAGCCCCTCGTTTCTAAGGAATAGCCTTGGCGGTCTGGAGCACAAAAGGGCTCCGGCTGGGTCTGGGGGAAAATTGGCGGGTTCTTGTGACTCCGGGCTGGTGGGCTGAAGCTTGCCACCAGCCAGCACAACACTCCCCGCGTGCATACCAATTCGGGACATGGCCGGCACTGTACAAGGTTCAAGGTCTTAAATGCCTAAGGAAGTGGCCCTCAAACAAATAGCAAAGCAAAGCACTTGCACAGCTGCTATGGAGTAACTTGCGCAACACGCCAACTTTCCAAACAAAAACCATCAAAATCGCGAACCTATCTGTAATAGGACCACTCTATAAGAAGTAAAATCGCAGGATTGTTGGATCGCTGGTGGGCCCTCAATTCTCGTGCAGCTCGAGTCCTTCTCGAGTCTGTCTGGTTCATCGTCGGCGTGCCATTCTCATCACAGAAGACGAGCTTTCTTGGCCCCTTAAACACTTCAATAGTCATCTTCATCATCATAATAGTCCGATTGTTCATCCTCAAAGCCATCCTCAAAGTCCTCCTCCCAGGAGTCATCGGCGTCCTCCTCAGACTGCATCTCTTCCAAGTCCCGACTCTGCGCGGAGGTCTCGTGGGCTGAACCGGGACAGGCCATCGCCGGCACGGGAGTCCCCCAGCCCACACCACCCAAGCCACCCAAGCCACCCAAACCACCCAGACCGCCCCAGCCACCCCCGAGATTCTCTGCACAGCTGGCACCCAACATGCCCAAGCCATTGGCCATCCCCATGCCATGGGTCGTGCCCAAGCCGCTAGTGGAGCCCAAACCACTGGTGCCCAAGTCTCTGTTGAGACCTTCTTGCGAAGCTGAGGCCTTGCCATTCACCGTGGTGAACGAGAAGGGTTGCTTCAAGTCGAGCACCACTGAGGAGGCCAGTTGAGGGACTTGGCTAAAGCCCGCATCCGCCAATCGTGCGCGCAAATGCTCCAACAAGTCCAGGATGCTCACCTGCGCTGAGGCCGAGGCCAAAACTGAAAAAATTGAAAAAGGAAAACAACTTGCAATAAAACGGGGTCCTTGAAGGTCCTTGGGTGAATCGCCATTTTGTGGGCCCACTGGAGGATGATGCGAAGGACTAGGTCGACATCTCAAAAGCCGGGATCATCTTTGATCGACTGTTACACGTGTTACAGGTATATAATGAATGGGACACACCCAAGGTGGTCCTCTGGTCCCCAAAACAAGCCTTTGAGTCCTTGGATTGCTAAGCCCGAGCTGCCGGAGCGGCCACTGCTTTTCAAAGAAGGCTCTCCACAACCATCAGCACCCAGCTTTCCACCCCCTTCTACTCTCCAAAGCCTCTTCACTCTTGGATCCCATCCGCTTCCATTCCTCTTTTTTGTCCCATTACTGCCTGGATGCTAGACTTGAGGCGGTCCGAGAAAAAAAGACCTACTCAAACCACTGCTAGACTGCTAGACCCATGACTGCTTGACCCTCTTGTCCTATTACTGCCTGGTGCTGATCCGCCAGATCAATCTGCTCCATCGCTTCGATCAGCGCCGAGGTCAAGGCGCCGCCCGCGTCACCGACGTCGCGCGCGCGGCCCAGGCGTCCGCTGGTCGAAGTGCCATGGAGGTCGAACCTGGAAGAGTCATGAGGGTCGAGGCACCAGCAGGTCGACAGATCCGCCATTTTCCACTCACCTTTTTGGGGAATAGACGACCAACCGCGTTGGAACTCCTGGTCCTTTGCAATCATCACACATCAACGAGTATGAATTCCTTCCTTAGGACCTTTCCTGGTGATTTTGACGGATCTCCGAAAGGGTGGGACCAATGCCTTGAAGCTTTCGAGAGTCTTTTCCGTGACCAGACTGCACACTAAGGTGAGAAGCCGGAAGCCCAGGCTCTGGAAGGAATCCACTTTATAATAGAAAAAGGGTGACTGCCTATCCCTTTCTCAGGTGCCTCCTCTACAATCAACGTGCAGCTTGGAGAACCCGAACCCCCCCCCAAGGGAACACCATCAAGCTCCATACAATACACTCATGTGTGGCTGTCCAGACTCCTTCTTCAATCTAATGCCATCACATAGATTTCCCGGGGGGGCATCGCTTCCCTCAGTTTTGGACAACCTTTAGACTCTAGTCACCTAGTCTTCAGCTTGGAAGGGAGGCATCATGAGGCATCGCTTACTGGTAATGGTATATAGTTAGTAATGACAGGTTTCAACCAAACAAGTGTATGTGATGTGTGAATATGTGAGCATGAGCACTCGAAAGAGACACGCACACAAACTTCACTCGCGTCGAAGGCAACAGCAAAGCTCAGCTGACGTTAGAAAACAAAAGATTGGAAGGGCATTAACATGCATTAAACCAAGCTGTTACTGCAACATGTTTGTTGCTTAACTCTATGTTCAAGGTTCAAGTGGGCAAGGGTGGCAGACCGGCATGATCAAGGGCACCACTTCGGGTATCGCTTATAGCGATGCCTAGGGCCTAGTGGTGTCTCTGTCGCTTCGGGCATCCCCGAGCTTGGGCCCTACAGGAGATGACTGTTGCAAAGTCTTGACATCTATGTCATGAGAACGCGTGGATTTCTCAGGTCAAGAAGCAAAACATTGAAACACACATGTGAAACAACTACACTTGGACAAGGTTCATGCATCATGTTCTGGTTCAAGGGAACCCGTGATAGAATAGCATCTCAAGCTTGTTGTCAAGCAAAACCCACTTTATGAGGATGAAGTCGTGTCAACTCGACCATTGATGATCAATAAAGGTCTCACCCCAAAGATGCTTGCCAAAAGGTCCCTGAACCTCCGGCAGTGGCCCCATCTCGCCCAGCTCAGCTCCAGCTCCACCAGCTCCATAGCTGCCAGGTGGCTGCGAGTGCACGTCGTTCACATCGGCGCTGGTCTGGTCCGACGCGCACCCCGTGATGGCCACCACCTCCGCCGAGGCCAGGCCCACGTTGAAAGGCTCGTCGGAACAGAAGCCATCCTGGTCAAAGCCGGCGACCGGGGGCATCAGGGAGTGGTGGAGTCCGTCGCTGGGAGGTGGGAAGACGAAGACGGCAGGGTGTTGTTTGTACGCCCTCCCAAGGTCTGAAGAGCAACGATTTCAATTGGTGGTCGAATTTTTGGATGCTGGGCAACCAAAAACTCCGGTGGGTTGTGCCGTGTCGCGGTGTAACAACCAGTTTGTGGGAGAATGCTTGAGTTGCGATGGATGAACTGATGAACTGCCAAGACGTAGGCGGCACCCTCAAGCACCCCAGGTGTGAAACATCCCCATCACCGGCCCTCGTCCTGTTCCTCCACTGCCGGAGGGACTCGGGCTGAAACGACTAGCTCCAAATTGCCCACGCCACCGTCTTGACCCTTTAACTCACGCCTTATGTTCATCAATCTTCATCACCTTCGTGCCCGTCCCAAAATCATCCTTGCTCCATCCCATCCGTTCTCAACGAATTCAAAAAAAACCGTCTCAATGGCGTTGTTTGGGCCGTCGTCCTGATGGCCGTGGGTCTTCGCCCGGTACTGGCGCCACAAATCCCAGAGTCCAAAGCCTACGGAGGCCACATCACCCAGCAAGGCCATGGGGTCGTCCTGGAGAAGAAGAAACACACCACGCGACACGTGAAGCCCAAGAGTTCACTCTAGTGGTGGGTGAGGAAAATTCTGGAAGTGGGAAAAATAGAGGGTGGACATTCTCATATGGGTGTGCAAACTGAAAGGAAAAACACCAAACAGCCCCTCTGGATGATGCTTCGGACTAGGCCGACGAGCGTCTGCTACAGGCCGGTCATCCTGCTACAGGTCATGGGTTTCCCACACACGTTTGGCGTAACGTCTCACAACACATGTCTCAGTTTGTGAGGAGAAGGCGCGTCGTCGTTTCTGAAACATGACAAGAACTGTTTCAAGCGTCTTTCAGAAATGAAGAGATATAGAATTATATAGATAGATAACCGCTCACCCGACTCGCTCTCCGCGGTGTTGGTGTTGCCACCGCCCACCGGGCGCGAAGCAACCTCCGCAGCGCTTCAGAACGGGTTCCCGCCCCACCGAAGTCACCGAAGATCCCAAAAGGCACCCTCCATCCACACCGACACCGCTGGAAAACCCAGGCTGTCCACGCACCAAGCCGCACCGGCTCGCCGGCGACGTCGGAGTCGCTCCTCCACTTTCCAACGCTCGAAGTCACGGAGCCAGTTCTTGGACAAGGCCATCTGAATGGCTTCCCCGGCCATGGCCTTTTGAATGTTCTGCAGGGTTCCTGCGGAGACCAAGAAACGGAAAACATTATAGACATCCAGTGAGCAGGGTCAGGCCACGGGAAGGGGGGACCCAGAGCAGCAAAGTCTATATAGTCTTATATAGTCTATAGGGTGTTTTCCTTAGTCCTCCATTTCAGATTGATCCAAGTCACCAACTGAAGATATTATATACAATGAAGTAGCAGGTGCAGGGTAGGGTATTCATCTTCCAAAAGGTACAAGAACCCCTCAAAAAAGAAAAAACCATAATTGCTTTATATATAAGTCTTGGCAAATGGCCAAAGCATCTGCCCCATGTCT